TTACACGCTTGTTATTTTTATGCATTATAATTATGCGATGTGCCTGATTACTATTCACATTTTTTAGGAAAAAAACCTCTATGACAAAACTCAATGTATTCAATTTTTTTTAATTATACCTTAAGGTGACAGTTAAGCCAAAAATGTTTCTTATAATAATTAATACAAGCTGTTATAGAGAGTAGCACCGCGGCGTCGATGGCAGACGGCGCGGCGCAGCGAGACGCGGCGTTCGGCGCAAATCTGATGCATAATGAGACCTCTCCAGGAACTTCATGCTAATACCGCTTCATATTTCCTTAGCGCTATTTTACTAAAGTCTTAATTAAAGACTAAAGTATATTTTAATATTAAATGCAACATTATTCGATAATTAAGTCGACGATATTGTTTTTAAACTGACATTAACAGACTATTTAATCTAACCTCTAACTAACATTATAAATACGAATGTTTGGATGGATGGATGTTTGTTTGTATATCTAGAACGGCTGGATGGATTTATCTGAAAATTGGCCTAGGTGTGGAACATAGTCCGGAAGAACACATAAGCTACTAATTATGTTTTTTTTTAATTCAACGCCGACGGATTTGCTAGCAACAGCTAGTACACATGATAAATTGATTTTAAATACAATGAACAGTCACATTTAATATTAATCTGAAATATGACTGTGGTATTAATATAATGATCCGAAATGAATTCACTGAAATATATCAAGTTCCCGAACTCCAGCTGTTGAAAATCAAATAAGCCGATTTAATTACAGAGACATTGTTGTTAGAGTTGATAGTCCCTATATTTAAAAGTTAAAGATTTGTTCCACAAGCGGGAGAAGAAGATTTTGAACGTTAGTTAAAATTCAGTATCGTATAAAACTCAAAAGGAAATCCACCTCACGATTGTGACTGAAATGTGCAGCGGACAGCGGATATGCGATGTATGCAATCATGTGAGTACGTTTCGGACGGCTACAGATCTCTACCGAATACATATACTTACAAAGATATGCCAACATATATATTGCAACAGAACTATTAATAAATTTTCGTTAACTGAAAATAGATTAAATTAGTAGCCTACGTGTTCTTCCAGACTATGTCCTACATCTGTGCAAAATTTCATCAAAATCTTTTGATCCATCTAAACTTTCCCATTTATAATATTAGAAAGATAATAGAGTGTTCTCTTAAGAATAAAAAAATCTCGCAAAATCTACTTAAACCTTAAATGTGATCAATGATTAATTATCCTTTATCAATTTCTTATGCAAAAAGTACTTGTACATCCATTAGCGTTAATTATCTTACCTGCTAGTATAGTTTGATACCAAACAAAGTTGGTGTTGAGCGAACAGTAATATGTTAGCTCCAGTTGGGTAACGTATACGTCAGCCACAGAATCTTTAGATCTACATATCGCTGCAGGGTAGTACGCGTTTGTTAGCCTCCAATAAGAACAAAAAATATCCCTCGTTCTCTTTAGAAGCATGTAATTGAATTCCATTTGAATCAAGTCTTGTGCTGAATTCCCATTTTATTGATCTGCATATTTTCGGATTGTCCCAATTTTTGTAAAGAGATAGTTTAGAAAAGTTTTACAATTTGTTTATAGCTTGATTTGCCTACCGAGAATTTATTCGATACGTTTGAAAAAAATATTTACCTGAATATTTTATTTCGTATTATTGATATTGACTAAAAAGGTTGTGTCAATTTGTTTAATAAATTTTAACAATTTTACTGATAATGTCTGAAATACGGGATTAAAATAAAATTGAATGTTCCTTATGTAATACATATTTTAACATAAGCATTATTATATAATTGCAGTAACACATTAAATTTCATCTTGTATCGATGTAGGTTCTTAATTTTAACTATATTTGAGGACGACGTAATAGAATCGTGATCACACATGCGTTAGCTGAAATTAAATTCACAAATTATAAATAAAATACCTATAAAAGTATATTTTTAAAACATGGTTTTAAAATCACTAAGGTATTAAAAATGTCGAAATATTATTTAATGTTGATATTTTTTGTATATTGAGGAATTAAGCAGTAATTAATTAACTCAGTATCGGAATTTACAAGAGACTCTATGGGTTGAAAGATTCCATTATGTATATGAAACTCTTGCTACTAAAAAAAATTAAAATTGTTAATTAATTGAAAATAATGTTCAAAATTTTTATCGTAGATTATTTTTTTTTAATTTACTTTCAAGTAAAATCGTGTTATAACTATCATAACATGTTTTTAATAATACGTTATTGCGGAAATGTTTACGTTAAACAAATAACCAAATAATAGCGAGTGTAGTAACAGCTGTGTTCACATTTTGAATGCAATTAAACATTTTAGCGCCGCATCTAAACATCATGCTTGGCCACGCTCATTTATTATTCCAACAACGCTATAATATTATGAAAATAAATTTATTATTTTTAATATAATACAAGCATTATTTTACGATCAAAAATAAAGTTATGGGATGAAGTGAGCTATACCATGTAACTAACAATCTGTAGCTCGCGACTTCCTCCGCGTGAAAAAAAAAGTATTTCTTTCTTTGTAAAAAGTGAGAACAAATCTATCCCACGGGAGCGATTAAGTTGTTCGCGATAAAAGCTAGTGACCTTTTTCTGACCGTGACGTGACGTAGGCGTAGACTATGACGTAGATGCTAACGTAGACGTACACGTAGCCATCAACGTAGACGTTGCGTAGAAGCAACATATTGTTAAATATAGTTAAATATAAATAAAAAACGAAAAAGCCGCCCAAGCCTGAATAGACTAAATTTCGCAATTTTTCATCTGAATATTGTTAAAGAATATCTAATATTATGTAATATCTTAAACGCACCTGGCGCGCTAAGCCGGCTTAATAACATAACGTTTGATATTAATACTTAAGTATATCAGTTGAAATATTAACTTTAAATTTCACGTCTGTATTTTGTATTTTAGTACGATTATCATTTTTAAATTTATGAGTATGCTATTGAAAAAAATCCAAACAACGTTTTGGTGTACATCTAGAAATATTTAGCCAACGTTAAGGAAAACATTTTGATATATATCTGAGAAGAAATTCAAAGCTGTTCGTGTTAAGTCAACTAATCCACAATGAGCCATCGTCGTTGACATACGTCTAGTTACCACTTAATTGGGTAGGCTTCAAGCCTCTTTAGAACATGAGGTGACTCATGCTTAGTGAATTTAAAGTTTAAAAATTAATCGCATTACGGCATAACTTATGTGCTTTTATGTATGGATGAGATATGTAGCTTGTCATAACTAAAATGATTTTGAAAACTGTTACAGAGATGCAATCAAGTAGAATATGGCATCTGTTATAACGAGTGCTTGATATCTACGTCTCGTATTGAGACTCGTACAAAGCGCTTTGACGGTTGCTGGCCTGAATATGTAATAGACACGTTTCGCTCTAGTGTTACGATAACCAAAATTTGAAATACGTTGTGAAATAGTTCACGTGATAAATCATTTTTATCATAGTGTAGATGAAATCTAACGCATGGCTTACAAGTTCGATTTTGTTAGTAGTGTCTTTTGGTCGATCTACGACAATCATTCATAATCAATTTCAGTACCGGTAGATGCTAGCGCCAACATTTGCTGCACGAATGGGCTCACTCTACGACTGAAATACCACGACCGCACAGAAGTTAGGCGTAAAGTGGAAATAATTCCGCGTTTCGTCTGATGACTATGACTGATTATTAAACGGATAAAAAATCGTAATACGATGATGGAAATAGTTGAAAATAAAACAATTGTAATGTGTAAACCATTTTATTGGAGGCAGAATATGTGTTAACAATTATAACAATCTGTGTATACCTGAAGTTGAATTATAACGTATAGAAAATTATTTGAATATATTTTTAATGGATTCATTTTAAATTTTATAAAATTTGATAATCATACAATGGAATAAACTTATAATAATAAATTATATTAATATTTTTATCAAGCACAAAATTTAAAAACAATTGAATATAATTAACAAACATTAAAATAATTTAGTTCTGGCACGTAATATAAATTATATTATATAATTATGAATGCAGCTTTAAAAGCACGCCATTTCAACATCAGTGTAAAAATTTTGTAAGATTATTGGTTACACTTTAAACAATATAAAAATGCAATTGAAAGAATATCTACAGCAAATTCAGTCTTCCTGTACACATTTGATATCTAAGTTTAAGGAAACTACGGGTATATAGCGATATCTAAAATTGACCAACGAAACTAATTGAATCAGGCGCTGCAACATTCATATCCAAAAAAGTAAATTAAATTTTACTTGTTTTCGCTTCTTAACTATTAGAAACTTAAATTTCTTAATTCATTTGTTTGCTTTTTCCTGCAATGGGTAAAATTATAACAATTATTGCATTGTAGTTAAACTGACGTTCTTATTGAAAAAGAAAATTGCGAGTTCTTGATAGTATAATAGCTTAAATTTAATTTACTTTTTGCTTTAATGTTATCCATCATTGTCACTTATACAGGCTATTTTATATATTTGATTTGAAATAAAAATTTTGGTATATTTATTTCCGAACTTTCTAATATTGTCACAGTTATAAAGAGTTACTCTGTAATTATATAGATGTAAGTATAACTATCTTATAAATTAAAGAATAAAATATTGTATCTTAAAGCAACCTATCATAATAACTTAGCATCTTAAGCTAACATTTACAAAATAATATTAATGTGTAAATACATAATAAATTATTTAATGTCATACGAAACTGATGTGATTAATGTCATGAAATTCTTGCAAGAAATTTTACACTAGGTATGTTATAGTTCAAACTTAATGCAACTTAATGTAACATACAACCTCGCGATTTTAATATAAATATAATATAATTTTTGGTATAATTTTTGAACCTCGAATTTATTTAATATGTTATTATATTCTGAAGTGGAATCGCAATAAATATAAATAAGTAAAGTTATATTTTGAATAAAATTCGCATTTGGTCAATTTTTTTATAGCGTCCCTTATACTATGAAAGCAAAAAATGGACGCAAACTGTGCACCTACACAAACATAAATATATGAAACTTAAACATATCAATAGTGTCCAATTTAAGAAATTAGTTAATTAAATTACTATATTTCTTTCTCACATCAAGGAAACATTTTCACATTGTATTACCTAATTTTATAATTTAGGCCTTTATATATATGAACACGTATTCAATTTGCAATAACCTCTTCTAACATAAATTACATTTTATTTACACAAGGCGGGGAATGCATTCGTAAAACTTAAAAGTAACGTAAATATATCTTAATTAAAGTGTAATTGAATAGTTAAAATTGATTTACGGTCAAAGAAATAGACGTTAGAAATATCTTTTAAAACTGTAACGACTAGATAAAACATCGTTTTTATTAAAGTTCACTTTAATATTAATTATTTCTACACATTCATCACTTTTGAAGCTTCGTTAACATATAATTGCAACATTTAATAACTAATACCTAGGTTTCAACACAGAATGTGTCAAAAAATAACTGATGAAATGAAGAAACTATTCTGAAAGTATTGACGGTCAACATTTTAAATATTGGCTATAGCTAAAAGAGATGCGATGAGCAATGTTAGCGATGCAATGAATTTGATAGCTTTATCCGTGGTTCTAATATCCGCGGAGACGATGTCCACCCATTCCGAGTGGCCGGCTGCATTACGCGTCCGCACTCGAGCGTGGAAGGTCGTGCTGTTTGGCAGGGGGCCAACCGTGAACAACGTTTCTGTACAAAATTAAAAAATTGTCAACAAAATTTTCAATTACAAATAAACTCTCTTATTAAGCCGCTTTTACGCACATGCTTTGTGTTTAGGAAATGTACTAATACAAATATCTTTACCATTGGCATTTTCAATGTCAATATCGAATAACGAGGCTGTGTCCCATTCAGGTGGGTAACCCTCTCGTGCCGGTACTAGCTCAAATGAATAACCTGAAATTAAAAATTAATGCCAATCATAGATTAGATATTAGTAGCAGACAAATACTTACTTTTGCAACATATTTATTTATTCTACTTTCTCTTTACTCATACTATCAATATTAAATCATAAAATATCTTGAATTAAGTAATACAATGTTATTTATAAAATATTTATACCAATAACAACAAGGTTTTCTGGATCGGGAGCTTTTTCGGATTCAAATTCCATATTGCAAGTGAAGCAGGTCACGTTGAACGTTATTGTGCTCACATTGGACGCGTACACACCAATCTAAAACAAACATATTGTCATGTCCTAATAAAAACATATTTGTATATTATCATTATATTAGTGGGTAAACTTGTAGATAGCATAAGACGGGATTTAAATTAGAGATACGTTTTTATGTTTCTTCTAACAATAACTAAGGTTTTCTATAGGCAAAACACATCCTATGCGTTATTTTTTTTTTGTTTTTAAACAAATATGATAATAGATTTGGAAGTGTTACTACATTTAATTGCCGGCATTCGAGTAATGTTGTTTTTATTAGCTTTAGACTTACTTCGTCAGGAGGATTTGGTTTATTGCCTTCAGTAACGTGGAATACAATAGAAGCTTCTCCTTTTGGATTTTTCGCAGTACATTTGTACTCTCCGTAAATAGTTTCATTATGCATCCTGAGCACTAGAATAGAGACGTTGCCGCGGGGTGACGTCACCACCTAAGAGAGAAATATTATTCCTAATGAATATAAATCTATACTTGATGTTGGTTTATAAAAGGTAATCAAACAGCAGATTCGTAAGGGAAAGGACAATAATATTTCTTCTTCTTCTTATTTTAAGGAAATTAAAACATTACCATATCTTCGTCTTCAATAGGCTCTTCAAATCCATTTTCATATCGTCTGAACCAACGGAACGTGGGAATGGGATGAGCAATTGCACTGCACGAAATGTTCTTACTAAAATTAAAAATATATACATTAATCACTTGCAATAAAATGTGTAAAAATTTAAGCAGAATCTCAAAGTCACTATTTGCTATCTATCCTCTTAATAATCAAATAATTTAAGTTTTAATATTATGTTTATGTTAGACTTACGTTTCATTTAAAATTGCATAAACTTCTTCTGTTCTATAAGTTGATGTTGGATAAATTTCTTCTGTATCACTGTTAAACATTATCGGTTTATCTGAAAGAACAATTTTATATCTCTTACGTCCAATTACAATGCAATTTACATGGGCACTTGTTTAGTTGTAATACTTACGCTGAACGGTAAGTTGTACTCGTTTGTCAGTGTAATATCTGAGAGAGTTTTGTGTTACTTTGCACACGTATTCTCCAGTATCTCTATGGTTAAGTTCTTTTATCTCTAGTTGATAATTATCTCTGATCTTTCTCACAACGTACTTCTTAGATTTATCTTTAAAAAAAAAAGAAAATTTTATTATTTATACTACAATTTTCAAGAAAATTAGAAAATCAAATGGGGTAAAATATTACCAGATAAAACTTGTATATCTTTGTACCATTGCACAACAGGTTGTGGTTTTCCTTTTGCTTCACAGTTTAACTTCACCGATTTGCCTTCTTCTCCTTCAAAGTTCTCAAAGCGATTGGTAATATTGACTCTTTCTAAAATATAACGCAGGCAGCATTAATAACGAAATATTTGCTATGAATATATGTCATTATACCGGAGCAAAGAAATGCTTGTTTTCTTAATTCTAAATAATAAATAATGTGTTTTTAATTTATTTTTATGGTCAAAATTTCATTGACACCTTTAAAATATGTTTTGATTTTCACTACACTTTTCTGAAATGGTTCGGGATTGTTGTTCTTTTTAAAATTGTCATTACTCTTTAATAATTATGATAATTCAACTCAAATTATTGACCATCACTTACCTCCTACTAGAATCTCAATAGTTTCATTGAGCTCGCCAGATTTACAAGTCCAGTTGCCGCTGTCTTCGATCTTTAGGCTGTGAATGATGAGAGGCAGCAGGCTGTCGTTCTTCTGCCTCTCCACGTATACCCTGGTGTTGGTGGTAGATCGTCCCTCGACGGCCTCCCCGGAGGGCGAATACCATTCTAAGTTCTGCAACAAAAAAAAAATGGTATTGATTAGTGTGATCTGAAACTCAATATCTCTACGGATGCTGAAACTTGCGCTACGCACTTTTTGTTTGATTTTCTAATAAAATAAATTACCCTAAATACAACATCAAAAATTGTTGCAGTTACTAACCTGTTGAAGGTTTTTACCCTTACAGTAAATAGCTTTCTTCTCCCCGGCATTGTAAACTGACGATCTTGCTAAAACTCGAAGACTGGGCGCGTCATCGCTATCTTCAGCTGTTACTACTGTAAATAAAAGTACGAATTAACAATTAAAAGTTAGAAAATTATATTATTTAACACAAAAATTAGCAATTAATATTTTGAAAAATGTTTTTATAGATATGTCGTTACTATTGAAAAAAATTAGTATATAATTGTCAAAACAAAAGTTTGCTATTAAATTTCCAAAGTAAAAAAGTTATGTATACATATTTGTATGAAACATTAAGAACATGTGAAGTAGTTAAACTGGAAGGTAAGTGTCAAGTTCGTAGCTGGGCCTAAACGGCGGGCCAACTCCATTAGCAAATTGAACTTCTGAGAACTCCAAAAGAGACAGACGATAAGATTATATGAAGTTAACTTAATTAAAAGCACCTTACAGTTGACCTTGTATTAAGGTATTTAAACTTTTACATAAATAAATGCTTACCAAGCATAACTTTAAGATTTGAATAACCTGTAATTTATTACAAGTCTAAACTGATATAAAAACGGCTAAACATTCACGTATGTTCGTCCGGTGGCGGCACCGACTAGTTTCGCTCGTTCTAGTTTCGTTACGCTCACTGAGCGACGGGCGGCGTCCGCGAAATAATACCAGTACCACTCATCCTGATGAAGGGCCTCCGATGGGCTCGAAACTAGTCGGTGCCGCCACCGAACGAATATACGTGAATGTTTAGCCGTTTTTATATCAGTTTAGTATAATGTCTCACGAAAGTTTGAATAATTTAAATGACAAGTCGTTCTCTCGATTCTTTTTATTAATTACTAAGATGAAGAAAACCATTTACATAGACACAAAATACTACGTAATGTATTTCATGTCTGTTGAATGAGACTTCGTTTAGGATTATCTTGTTTAGTTCAATTTATGGTAACCCGAGCACTTAAAGGGGCTTACAGTTTAGAAGCGATAAGACCTAAACATACTTAGGATTAATTACTCACACCCACTGTTGTTGCTACAACTCGTTTAGGCATATTATACTATGTTTGTATTGAAGAAAATTAAAAAAAGTAGTCTCATCGGCTATCCCCAGAGTTCAATGACCTTAAATTATTTTTGGACGAGAATCGATCATTTCTTTAAAAGTCGTTTAGGTTTCAAGAAAGGTTTAAAGAGAAAATTATCTTTACGATGTTTCGTTGTCTATTACTCCTTAACTCATGATTTGTGTGTGCGTAAGATTTGTTAAAATAAGTCGGCCTTGAATAGATGTCAAATCAATAACATTCATACGTAATATTTTACCACACTTTTATAATTGCTCAAATAATTTATGGTAGATTGTATAAATAGATAACTTGCATTTTAGCCTCAGGTTAAAATTAATTAACATTTGCTTTCTGCTTAACTACCTACTTTCTAACAAAAAAAAGATAAATGTACGTTAAATAACCATTATTTTCTCTTCTTGCAACTCATCATTTTTATTACGAACAAAAGGATATTTTTGAATCAGGAAAAAATAATACAAAAAAACGTCCACTGGATTTAAAACACTCCCAACACAAAAAGGTGTGCGATGTATTGTTTCGTTTGCGTATTGTTATAGACCAGCTTTAGTTCAGTATTATAAAGTTTTGTCAATAAAGTTAATTAGTACTATGACACTCCACTGCCGAACTTGTGCTGACATATATTTTGTCTTTGTTTTTTTCAAAGATAATGTAGGGGATGACAGTATGGATGTACTGATGTCACGACAGTCAAAATCCCACTGTTTGATTTATTCATTTATTATGAGTAATGAAGTTTAATATGTTAAGAAGTCTTCTAATGAGTCTAATTCTATCTTATGATAATCCACGTGAGACTTTAATTGATTTACTTTTACGATTATATAACTATGAATAATATACTATGGTAGGGTTAAAATAGTTGTTTTCTTTTTCTGTGTGTATGCAAAATTTATTATTTTATCAGACTTTGCTTCAATTTATCGAATCACTCGAAGACAGACGCCGAGCCTGCAGAATTTGCATTTTAAATTTAGTTTCTTGCAAGCAGTATTTTCTAAAACAAACTACTTATACGATAGAAACTTTTAAATTTATATAATTCATTGAAAAGTTAAAGTCTTTGTGGTCAAACAATTTTTTTTACCATCTGAGAAACTATGAGTAACAATAAACTGTCTATCATCTTCAGCGTCTGATATAAATTGAAATAAAAAATATTAAACCTTAATCAAATAACTATCCATTGAGCCAATGAGAGAATCTATTCACTCGTACAAAATATTATCTCTTACGAACATTCTCACATTTCTAATACGCTCCATTACAACTTATAGCAAAAACCAATTTCGTTCAACAATCACATCCAATTTCATCAAGAAAAAAATTCCCAGCAGGTCGAAGTGCTACGGATTGTACATCTATTGCAAACAAAATTCAAGTTCTTAATCAATCCCGAAACTCGTTTTTAGTGCTACGAAAAGTTCCTTTCTAGTGTATTAATCTTTTTGAAACACGATCTTTTCAACAATCAAATCAAATTCTTTAAACGACATATGAAACAAGATTTTATCAGGTACTTCTTACTGATAAAATACCTTACAATACATAAGACATTTTTGGAGCAATAACATTTAACAAACACTTTTTCGCTTATATAAGATAATATCTGAATATCAGGATAGTAGATAAGATAACTATGTACGTTATTTTAACGCTTCATATATCTCATCTATGGAAATCAGTAAGTCCCAAGTAATAAATATTTTGTCTATGCGTAGTCCTTTTCTATGTGAAAAATGGAGTCCCATTTACTGACGCTCTTAAGCGATAGACCCTTTTGCATATGTCGATAGCAGCAATGTTTTAAATCTTACTTACGTACCTATATGCATGACTACAAATCAATAGTTGATAATATCTTCTATCTTGTACAATAAAAAAGACTTCGAAAAAGTTTTTTTTTCGTTACTCAATTAAACAACTTTTTAATCCTCTATCTTATAAAATACAATAAACACCATGAGTAATTTATATCTACTAACAGATTTAAAAACAAGTATTTTATTATTTTTTACAACCTTAATATATTGAGGTACGCATATAACACTTTTTTGGAATAAAAGGTCGCCTAAACGTAAGATTATGGCTTCATCAATTTGATATTCACAAGAAATAGGATCCATTAGGTTCACCCAAGATTTTATAAAATTGTATTTTATTACGTACCCAGGTTAAAATAAATATGATGCTTTAAGGGTTTACCTAGTTTTATTTCTATATACAAATACATAAACATAAGATACATAAATGAAGTAAATTACTAATTTAAGATGAAAAATTTTGCGTTATTTTTCATAGTTATTTATCAGAATCCAATTACTTAAATTTTTATCCGCTATAAAAGAACCTCGAGTAATTAGTAACCCTCGGAATTATATCTCGTGGGCGTGTTTTATTACGTCCCATTACATAAACAACCTTTCGTTTGCCAAACTCCTGAAAAACTCAAGTTTTTCCACGTTACGGATATTTGAAAATAAGTTAGTTATATCAAACAAACTTACCTTTATTTAATGCAAAGGAATTGAAGCATTCCTTTGAGACAATTTCGTTCTCTAAATCTCAATTTAATTAATAAAAAAAAACAAAACTAAAGATATTATAAACATTATGTAAAATTTTGTGAAATAAAAGAAAAATTAGCACAGCAAAAAAAAATTGCCGACCAGGTGGCGCGATTTTATTATTTTTAATTTTTAAGATACAAATATCAATTGATAAACCATTAAGAAAATTTTAATAATTCTGACATTCCAAACGGATGTTAGGATGCTGGCATGCTAGGATCGCAGTGAAAGAAAATCATCCCTTCCTACTCAGGATTACGAATATTAGTTATATTTTAACGCATTTAACTATCATCATCAAACTGCCCTTATCCCTACGGAGAGTCGGCACAGTATGTACTACTCCTCCATACATCTCTATCAGCTATCATGTCTGAATCTACCCCTTTCCTGCGCATTTTTTGGTCTTTCTCTACCTTTGTAGCCATCAACGTTCAATCTCATTACTAAAGCATTTAACGATAGCAAAATAGTAAATAAAATATTAAGTTATTACGGAGTCAGCTAAGATGTGACTAGTGTTTTGGTCCCGTATGTAGCGAATGATAATAGATTTACAGCACTGCAAGTGCTTCATCCGATTACAGAGAGGAAAAGGGTCTCCTTATCATGCGCGCAGGGGGTGCTCTAGCTAAAGAAGCAACGTGCAACAAACACGTGACGTGACGTATGCGATAATTCAATTATTTTAGAAATCCATTTTAATTTTATTTAATTATACTAGGATTAGATAACCATGGAATGTGCGGTATGCAAATGGTTTAATTTAAATTAATGTTTTCTAAAATTTTTCTTATCTTTACAATTCACCTTATATGAACAATAGGTTGCGATTACGGTAAGCTTTGAGCATAGATACGTTTATTCTACAAATAATAAAATGCCTATTAGAAACGCCTATTAAACAGATGGAGTAACATTCTGGTAAATTCATACTGGCGAAGTAATAACGTCGTAACGAGTTAGGCAGATGGTGCGTCTTGTGCCGAATACTGCATAATGTGCCCTCTTTCAATTCCAAACACTCACAACTCTCGCAGTTCGGGCCGTCATTTTCACAATCACGTTTAATTTACAGCTAACAACAATTTGGAAGCAACACTGTTCTATTGTTATTTCCTTAAAGCTTCGCCGCACAACGTTATAAATTCGCAACAAACGTTTCGTATTCGTAACAAAATTGAAATGAATGTGCCGAAGTTGAAATTTCATTTATTTATATAGTTTAAACCTTTTGTCTTTGACGCTTTATGACAAATTTTATATTTAGTACCATAAAGCTATCAATTTAGAAATATACACAACTTACATAATTATTACTATGATTTTAAAAACTACATAAATGACACCAACTCAAAGTATACGTACGTACTGTTACATACACCAAATAATTTTACGGTTCGCGTAAATGATCATCATACATCAATT